ATTCGAACTGGATTTTTGAAAGACGGAAAGCCCATTCGTCTAACTAAGGGCCAAGAGATCACCATCTCCACAGATTATAGCATCAAGGGTGATGAGAATACCATAGCCATGAGCTACAAAAAGTTAGCCGAGGATGTCAAGCCACAGAGCACCATACTATGTGCAGATGGAACAATCACGCTAACGGTTCTTTCTTGTGATAAAAAGAATGGAATAGTTCGCTGCCGCTGTGAGAACTCTGCTCTTCTTGGTGAGAGGAAGAATGTCAATCTTCCAGGAGTAGTTGTTGATCTTCCTACACTAACTGAGAAGGACAAAGAGGATATCTTAAAATGGGGTGTCCCTAATAGGATTGATATGATTGCTCTATCATTTGTGCGCAAAGGTTCTGATCTCGTGGAGGTCAGGAAAGTCCTTGGAGAACATGCAAAGACAATTATGCTGATGTCCAAGGTTTGCACACTTACCTTTGGTTATTTACAAAAAGGGTTAATTGCGGATAGACCCCCCGTGCCATTGCTACATTGAACTTGCTACACTACCCATGTTGCAGATGGAGCCTGAGTGAAAAAAAAATTCACACTTTTCAGGTTGTCCATCTGTGACAATAGAACTACATGGGTAGTAAGTTCAATTTGTCAATAGTGCAGGGGGTCCATCCACAATTAATTCCTATAGAAATAATCATTTGCGAATAATGTTTGGTTGGGTATATGATAGACATGAATATAGCACTTCCGTCTATTTTTAGCAGTGGATAACGAGAACATATTCAACTGCATTTTTTTTCCTGGTTTCCTTTTCAAAGACACAGTTTCTAGAAAAGCATGCATTCAGAAAATAAAATGAAAACAAAATTATCTTAAGTTCAAAGAAAAACTTATATTTTTACATGATGGAAGATGTACATACTACAAAATGGGGTTACAGGTTTCAGTATTAGCACTAAAGGTCTAGTTGCTTTGTTATTTTTGCTTGCAGGTTGAGAATCAAGAAGGGGTGGCAAATTTCGATGACATTCTTGCAAACTCTGATGCTTTCATGGTTGCTCGAGGAGACTTGGGCATGGAGATCCCCATCGAGAAGATCTTCTACGCCCAAAAAGTGATGATTTTCAAGTGCAATGTGCAAGGAAAACCTGTTGTAACCGCAACCCAAATGCTCGAATCTATGATCAAATCCCCTCGCCCAACTCGAGCTGAAGCCACCGATGTGGCCAATGCCGTCCTCGATGGCACCGACTGTGTCATGCTTAGTGGTGAAACCGCTGCTGGTGCTTATCCTGAGCTGGCGGTTCAAACAATGGCCAAGATTTGCGTAGAGGCAGAATCATACTTAGATTATGGAGCTGTGTTCAAAGGGATAATGGCTCAAGCACCAGTCCCTATGAGTCCTATAGAGAGTCTCGCATCATCAGCAGTTAGAACTGCAAACTCCGCTAGAGCTTCACTGATATTAGTCTTGACTAGAGGTGGTAGCACTGCAAAGCTCGTTGCCAAGTACAGGCCGGCAATTCCCATTTTGTCTGTGGTGGTTCCTGAGATTAAGCCTGATGAGTCCTTTAGCTGGTTGGTTAGTGACGAGGCTCCAGCACGGCACAGCCTCATATTCAGAGGTTTGATTCCAGTTTTGAGTGCTGGATCGGCTAAAGCCTCTCATACTGAGGCTACGGAGGAAGCGCTTGAGTTTTCAGTTCAGCACGCGAAGAATTTGGGGCTTTGTAAGCCTGGGGATTCTGTTGTTGCTTTGCATCGAGTTGGGGCTTCTTCCGTGATCAAGCTCGTGACTGTTAAGTAATTTTTGGGAGCTTTTTGGGGCTCCGTTTACTTGTTTTCTTCACAAGATAATCAAACAGTGATTACGGAGTAGTTAATTTTTTTTGGTGGGGAAGCGTTTTTGTTTGAAAGTACTTTATGTTTCCCTGCTGGTTTTGCCTTCTTGTTTTTGGTGTGGGGTATGCGATTTTGTTGAAGTATATGCTACTTTTGTCAGCAAGGACGGTGTTTCGTCTTTGGAAATATTATCCGATACTTTTGTTATTAAATTGGAATAATTTGGGATTTTTCTTTTTTGGTTTGATTAATATTTTTCTGGGTTTTATCTTTTGCTATCTACTGCTAGTTTGATTCTGTAGGTTCAAACAATTGAACAAGTTACAGTTTATTTCAAATATTATTGACTGGGATTGCTGAGGAGCCATTTGGATGGATGTTCATTTTTCTCATTTTAATTTGATGGTTATCTGATCCAGTTCTATGTGCTTATTATGTTACTAAGAAAGTTCATATCAACGTACAACTTTCGATAGTTTGTAATAGTTCGGTGAACTGATTAGCGTCTCATCAGATTTATACAAAGATTACTCTTGCTTTATGGATAGCAACGAAATCCCAACCAGTAGAATAAAAATGGCCAGCTCTTCTGGATGAGGGATTAGCTAACATTAACTGCTGTAAAAGATATGTTAGCCTTTAAACTAAATTAACGGCGCTAAAGATGGCCTAAATGACTCAAATAAACTTCTCATCTACTGTCCGCTAACATGATACGAGCCTAAATGATTCAAACAAACGTCTCAGGTACCGCCCATAATAGCATTTCCGCAAGCATCACCCTCTATCGGCTTACTGTCGCAAGACTCGGCATTGGTTTTACTGATTGCTCTGCTGACACAGATGAAGAACGAGCGCAGAAGGAGCACAATGAATTAGGCTCGGACAAGATCACGGTATTCAATTTTATTAAGCCACAATTCCAATTCACGAAACAGAAGACTATGTACAGCATCATACCACTGAACTCAACAAAGAACAAGATGATCAATGAACAAACTTCTTCAATGCTCATCAGGACCATCTTCTGACAGAGAATTCCCGTTCCCATCCCCTCCGTTTTGAGAAGGCGACGAAGACGAAGACGAAAACAATCCACTAAAAGGCCAAGGCACCGGCATCCACGACCTCCCCCCACTGCCATTATTACCATTGCCGTTACCTCCTCCTCTACTACCCCCACTTGCGCCTGTGCTACCATTGCCAGCGCCAATGGACTCGTTCTTCGGCCCCTCAACGGGCATCTGAAACCTACAGACGGGGCACGAACTATGAGCCTCAAGCCAGGGCAATATACACCCCTCATGAAATTTATGCTTGCAAGGCATCTCCCTCGCTTCCTCCCCTATCTCAAACTCCTCCAAACAGACATAGCAACTCCCAATTTTCTCCTCGATCTTAATTCTAGCCATCGCCTCGACCGCCTCTTTACTCGCCGGAGGAGTCCCTTGCCTATTAGGATCATTCTCAGCCAAATGTTGTAGCAGCTGATCGAGGCCAGGGCCGATGAAATAATCCCCTACCGAAGCTCTGATGTTGCGGTTTATGCTGGTGGGATCAATGGCTCCCCCCGGGATGATCACAGCTTGGTTGAAGGGATTGATTAGGATCATATGTTCTCCCTGTCTCTCTCCTTGTTCTTGGTCTCTGATGTGCAACCTTTGTTGGATGTCCGTGAGGACGTCGAGGATGGCCGAAGTTCGCCGGCGTCGACGTAAGAGGGACGCGAGCTCATTGTCTTGTTCAGAGGCTGCGTTTGATTCTTCCTCTTGTCCTTCATTCATCTGAGACCTCCGGCGACGGCGGAGGCCATCGTTGAGCATGCTGAGTAGGATGGGGGCCCACAAGGAGAGGTCCTGGTCAGAATCAGACGTTGAATTGGGATTATTAGCGGAGGAAGGCGCTGGGTTTTCTTGGGCTTCCATTTCCTCAATGAATCCACCATTGCAGAGAGGGCATTTGATCTCAACCTCCATTACTGGGTCCACAATTCTTGAGCACATATGGCACCAATATCTAGAAGCAGCCAATGATTCATCCATCGTTCTGATTACTTGGGCCCTCTTCAAAAACTCCCTCTATATACAGAACAATGAATTAATGACAGAATCAATGCCAAAAAATTAACAAACGCCAAGAATTTTTTAATCAATATAATGTATTTATCCTAAAATTACTTTAAATCATCTCAGCAGGCCATTCTACAAGAAACCCACCAACGGAACCCTCCTCTTCAGATCAAATCAATCAAAAAACAATAAATCCAGCCCAAAACAAGAATACCCAGATGAAGAAAATGAAGATATATCGGGTGGGTGAATCAAATTTAAAGGTTTCAAATATAACCCAGAAGTAATTACCAGCAAAAATTTGAGGATTCTCCTCCTCAAACGAACAGACTCCTGATCAAAATAGAAACTTTCTTCTAACCCCTTCACCAAAATGAGATTTTTATGAGTTTTCCAACAAACCCAATAAAGCTAGAGCTCGAATTTATATGGTAGCCATGAGAGCTCACAGTGGAAGAATCTAGAAACCTATAGAGAAATCTTTCTATCAACCGCGTTATTTGTACACGTAACCTTATTCTTCAATTTTCCACCAGAGCGAAATCATAATTAATTAATTAACTAAATAATTAAAACAGAGAGAACGTACTTTTTACCCTTGAGGAAGTCTTCTGGTGGTTGGAATGAGGAAACTGAGAAGCTTCAAAGAAAGAGGACGAAATTGATTCTTTTAACCCCTTTTGTTTTTTTACTATTGCAAGTTGTTTGCATTTGTAACCTTTGATTTATGTTGGGCTAAATTTAAGTTGGAAATAGTTGGGTAATTTACTAATTTTTAATGATTATTTCTACTTTTATAAAGAGGGTTTGGTTTTGGCAGGTTTCTATTTGAGAGAGAAAGATGAGGCCCACATGCTCCCTCTAAAAAATATTAATTTGTAAAAATAGATTTCAGTTTAGTTATTGGACTATTTAAATTTGTCTAAAATGTGAATTTCAATTGCATAAAAACAATGTTTATCTATCCAGCTAGGAATACTTGATACCCTCTATATTGATAGTAATTTTTGTATATTTTCATCTTTTCCAAAAAAAAAAATCTTCAGTGACAGTGGGCTAAAATTCTTTATCACCTGATATATTTTGAAAGTATAAATATTTAGCAATAAAAATTTTAAACTAAACTGGATGTGATTGTAATATCCCAAATTCTCAATTGATAATTGCTATGTCTACAAAGTATTTTAGCCTTGTAGTTATTAAACTTCAAGAGGAGTTTTAATAAATAGTGATTGTACTAGTACGTACAATCTTTAATCAATTGAGGAGGTTAGAGAAAATTATTAAATAATCTAATGGAAAATTGAACTAAGCTCATGTTTTGAGGACAAAACTTCGGTAGGATAACATGTAAGAATCCTAATTTTTCTAGTTGTTGTATTAGATTATAAATATTAATTTACAAAGGACCGTTATACAAAGTAATATTAACTAGAGTAACATATTTATATAAGTTAGTATTTCTCAAAAGAATATTTACCTAAGTTTGTTGAGGGATTTATTGCAAATGGAAATTGTTAAGGGGTTTACTAGACATCGAGGGCTAATAAAGGGAAAACCCTAGCGTCTCGTTTGGTACGCGGGAATGAGGTGGAATGGAATGATCATTCTCACTTTTCATTCCCTGATACCAAGCATATCTATTTTTTAGAAGTTGGAATGACCATTCGCAGGGAATGATCATTCCTACTTTTTGTGGGAATAAGCATTCCAAGTGAATTGATAAGGAATGATCATTCCCATTCAAGTGAGAATCAAATTAGTTACATAATTTTTAACTATACCCCTATTGATAATGATAATAAAAATAAAAATAAATCTAAAAATCTCATCTCATTGACTACGTATATCATTTTTCTATTTCGAAGCTTATTATTTTAGTCGGTATTGTTTTATGGATTTTTTTTAATTATGATATGGGCGATTTTGATACTTTATCAAATGAGTTAATTTATATATCTAGAACTGTGGATATCATTCTTTATATTATTTTTGAACCTATGAAAGATACGATACTCCTTTATTTAATTTTCTTTAATTTTTTAAGACTAAGAAATTGTGAGTATTGTTTAAAAAAATATAAACTGAACATACACATGAGAGATAACATGTGCATTAGTATAACACATAGCTAGATTAATATAACCTATGCATAAATAAAATTATTTAGTTATTATCATTAATGTTTATTTTTATCTTATTAAAAATCTACGTTGTTGTAAGGACATTATTAGAAAATAAGATTTCATTCTCACTTGTGAACTAGTAATACCAAACATGGGAATGAGAGTGAGATTTTCATTCTAGCTTTATTCTACAAACGCACTCAAACAAGAGAATGAGAATGACCATTCCATTCCCATATACATTCCATTTCATTCATTCTTCTATTCTATTCTTATTTGAGTTTATTCTCGCATACCAAACGAGTGGTAGATGTTTCCTGCTAAGATCCGCAGCCCAAAAATACCAAAAAAGAAGAAAAAGTAAAAGATAGTAAGTTGGCTGCGGATCTCAATAGGATACATCTAGTTTTTTCTTATTTATTATCTCTCAATGTCCAATAAACTCCTTAACAAATTTCTATTTGCAATAACTACCTCAGCAACTCATATAAATATATTTTTTTTAAAAATACAAACTTGTATAAATATGTTACTCTAGTTAAAAACCCAACAAGGGTTTTTTACATGCACACTTGCTAGTTCTTTCTTCTATATTAGTTCTAGCTTCTATTCCCCTGGTTCTAGCTTGTATACCCCCAGTTCTAGCTTCTATCTTGCTAGTTCTAAACCCAACAATGGTTTTTTACATGCACACTTGCTAGTTCTTTATTCTACGTTAGTTCTAGTTTCTATTCCCCTAGTTCTAGCTTGTATACCCCCAGTTCTAGCTTCTATATTGCTAGTTCTAAACCCAACAATGGTTTTTTACATACACACTTGCTAGTTCTTTATTCTACGTTAGTTCTAGTTTCTATTCCCCTAGTTCTAGCTTGTATACCCCCAATTCTAGCTTCTATCTTGCTAGTTCTAAACCCAACAAGGGTTTTTTACATGCACACTTGCTAGTTCTTTATTCTACGTTAGTTCTAGCTTCTATTCCTCTAATTCTAGCTTGTATACCCCCAGTTCTAGCTTCTATCTTGCTAGTTCTAAACCCAACAAGGGGTTTTTACATGCACACTTCCTAGTTCTTTATTCTATGTTAGTTTTAGCTTCTATTCCCCTAGTTCTAGCTTGTATACCCCCAGTTATAGCTTCTATCTTGCTAGTTCTAAACCCAACAAGGGTTTTTTATATACACACTTGCTAGTTTTTTCTTCTACGTTAGTTCTAGCTTCTATTCCCCTAGTTCTAGCTTGTATACCCCCAGTTATAGCTTCTATCTTGCTAGTTCTAAACCCAACAAGGGTTTTTTACATACACACTTGCTAGTTTTTTCTTCTACGTTAGTTCTAGCTTCTATTCCCCTAGTTCTAGCTTGTATACCCTCAGTTAGAGCTTCTATCTTGCTAGTTCTAAACCCAACAAGGGGTTTTTACATGCACACTTGCTAGTTCTTTCTTCTACGTTAGTTCTATCTTCTATTCCCATAGTTCTAGTTTGTATACCCCCAGTTCTAGCTTCTATCTTGCTTGTTTTAAACCAAACAAGGGTTTTTACATGCACACTTGTTAGTTCTTTATTCTACGTTAGTTCTATCTTCTATTCCCCTAGTTCGAGCTTGTATACCCCCAGTTCTAGCTTCTATCTTGCTAGTTCTAAACCCAACAAGGGTTTTTTACATGCACACTTGCTAGTTCTTTATTCTACGTTAGTTCTAGCTTCTATTCCCCTAGTTCTAGCTTGTATACCCCCAGTTCTAGCTTCTCTCTTGCTAGTTCTAATCCCAACAAGGGTTTTTTACATGCACACTTGCTAGTTCTTTATTCTACATTAGTTCTAGCTTCTATTCCCCTTGCTAGTTCTTTATTCTACATTAGTTCTAGCTTCTATTCCCCTAGTTCTAGCTTGTATACCCCCAGTTATAGCTTCTATCTTGCTAGTTCTAAACCCAACAAGGGTTTTTTACATGCACACTTGCTAGTTCTTTCTTCTATGTTAGTTCTAGCTTCTATTCCCCTAGTTCTAGCTTGTATACCCCCAGTTCTAGCTTCTATCTTGCTAGTTCTAAACCCAACAAGGGTTTTTTACATGCACACTTGCTAGTTCTTTCTTCTACGTTAGTTCTAGCTTCTATTCCCCTAGTTCTAGCTTGTATACTCCCAGTTCTAGCTTCTATCTTACTAGTTCTAAACCCAACAAGGGTTTTTTACATGCACACTTGCTAGTTCTTTATTCTACGTTAGTTCTAGCTTCTATTCCCCTAGTTCTAGCTTGTATACCCCCAGTTCTAGCTTCTATCTTGTTAGTTCTAAACCCAACAAGGGTTTTTTACATGAACACTTGTTAGTTCTTTCATCTACGTTAGCTCTAGCTTCTATTCTTCTAGTTCTAGCTTGTATACCCCCAGTTCAATATTCTATCTTGGTAGTTCTAGCTATCTTGCTAGTTCTAGCTTGTTCTAGCTCTAATTCATCTTAGTTCTAGACTCTTGGGAACGGAGAAAAGCTCCTCCTACCTCCGACGGAGACCACCGAAACACCCCGACGACCCCGGCAACCTCCTCCTACCTCCGGTAAGCCCGGATAGCGGCGAAAATCTCCGAACAGCGAAGAATAAACCCGAACGGCGAGAAATTGCACTGTAGAAAACTATAGTTTTATGCCGACTTCGCACGCACTTTCTGATCGCCTCCAATCTTCGTTTCCGCCGATTTCTTTTTTGGTGAGTAGCCCTACATGTTGCCTATCACTTCCAATTTGTATCATGCTCTAACTCATTCTCTATCTCTCTCGGTAACTTCCGAAACATCGCTCGGCGGCAGCAGCTAGCAGAAAACAGCAGCGCCGTACCGACTTCGCGCATGTTTTACGGCCACCTCCGGTCTCCGTTTTCACTACCGTCTGCGCCGGTGTGTAGCCCTTTATATTATCTATTACACTATATCTTCCTTTCATTTGGGCTCATTTTCTACCTCTCGTTATATTGCTTTGAATATTGCTCGGCGGCACCATGGCAATTTCATTCATAGAGATACATTAATACACATTTTCGTTCTTTCTTAATTACGGCATTTCTCTTCATTCCCCTTCTACTCTACTTCTCCTTACCTTTATTTTTTTCTTTTTTTTTCTTTTCTTCTTCTAGCTAATAGATTAATGCTCTGTGCGTCTCGACGAGGACGACGAGCTTGAGAAAGCTTTTAGTTTTAAAGAGAGGTGAGAGAGAGAGAGGAGATGAGAGAGAGAGAGAGGATGAGAGGAGATGAGAGAGAGATGATGTGAGTACTGGGTCAGAGAGATTGATGAGAGAGGATAAGAGAGAGAGGAGATGAGAGAGAGAGAGAGAGAGGAGATGAGAGAGAGAA